TAACTCTACAGCTTCTGCCTCAGTCTTCCCGAAGGGGCGGCCTTAGCCCCGACCGAGATGGGCCGGCGTGGGGTGTGCCCCTCCCCCGGGATGTAGAATGGGCCCAAGAGAGGCCAACCTCAGCGTTGCTGCTTCTCCAATCGAAGCCCCAAAGTGCCCTCAGGTCTGAGTAGAAGTCTCTGCCCTCCCAAGAGAACAGAGGCTGAACTCCCCAGGAAGACCCTGAGTCCCTCTTACATATTTGCAGCACGACAGGGAAGCAGGCACCCTGACTGGTCCCTGACAGAGTCCTACATGTGAGTGACTGCTCAGATCAGGTGGGCAAACAAGCCTAGATCTGTTGAAGGGCTGAAGTGGCAGAGCTGAGACTTTGCCCCCGACCTCCAGACGCCTGTGGTGGCACTCCCCGATTCCTGGCTGGCCAGCCTGGGCTGGTTCAGCCGCCTATCTCAGGCCCAGAGCAATGGCCCCCCGCCCCCAATGCCGGGCCTGGCTTTCCTTCTGAGCCGCCAATATCAGCCACACAAAGCCCTGTTTGTTTGCTTTCTCCCATACCTGCCGGCTGGGCTTCCTCTCCGAGCAGCCTGCCCAGCCAGCTGATGGGAAGGAGGGGCGACCACTGCAGCAAACCCTGCCTCTTGGCCACTCTACCGTTTCTTGAATCCTCCTCCTCAGGGCAAGGGGCTCCTAACCCTGTTGGCCTGATCCACCACGTCGGCTAAGAGCGCTTTCACTGTCTCAGAATGTAGGTGCCAGCTGGGTGGAGCAGCAGAGATGCCTGGGGCAGGGGGAGGGGAGGAGAAGCCCAGCCAACCTCCCTGATCCTTTTGTGAGCAAGGCTTGTTTTGTTTGTCAATCAGGAAGGCTGCCCTTGCCTTCCCAGCAACCCATAGGCTGCCAGGAGTTAGGAGTTAAGGAGATGATTAGGACCAAGAGGGCCCAGGCTGCACGGCTCTCTACCCTCTTTCTGGGGACTCTAGGATGACGCCTGACAGGCTGTCCTGGGAGCCCCACTCAGTAGGAGGGCACCAATCTAGGCAGACACCTGGACAGGTCCCCCTGAATGGCAAACACCCATTGAAGTGTCTCAGGAAGCCCTGCACAGTCCATCTGAGATGAAACAGAGGAGCTTTCACAGGCAAAGAAAAATAAACACCCACATTCCACACCACCTTCTCTACCTGCAGAGCGAAGCTGCCCTCTCTCCCTGTTCAAATAAAGAAACAGCATTGATATGGTACAGAGATACAGCAATCTGGCCTGGCTCCCTCTCCCAGAGCTCTTTCAACGAACCCTGTCACACTGGGTGGCCCAGGGCAGGTCCTCACCTTCTTGGGGCTCCTTCTTCCCCTCCCATCTCTTTCAGCGCTGAGTTTAACCCCTACAGCCGCTCCAGGATGAAGGCATGATTATGCTCACTTGACAGATAAGGAAACAGGAGGCTCCAGGAGGGAAAGCCACAGAAACAAACACTGTCTCTGTCGGAATTCAAGCTTATGGGATATAGCTCAGTGGCGCCGAGCCTGCCTTGCAAGCACAAGGTCCTGAGTTCCATCTCCGGTACTGGGGGAAAAAAATTCAAACTTACGGCTAACTCTAAGCCTTAAAAAACTTCCTCCTAGGTCACAGTCTTAATTATCACCTCAATGGATGACTGATTATCACGAAGAAAAGTGAACAGCAGGCACAGCCAGTTTGGAGCCCCACAGATGTAATCTCCAAATTGGCTTTGCCACTTGGTTGCTGTGTAACCCTAGGCAGGTCACTTAACCTCTCTGAGCTTCCATTTCCTTGGTAATCCATATAGAGCAGTTAGTAAGGTTTAGGGAGGGCCACCCAATGCCTGGCACAACAGCAGGCACTCATTAAATGATGGCTTTTCTCCATGATCCCTTTCTGTATCCAGAGAGACAGATATTCACTTATTAGAGGAACCAAGCCTCTCCTACATTTGCTTTCTCCAGGCACTCCCCTGTCACCATTTCTGGGCCTCTGGAAATCTCAGGCAGAGGCCATGGCTGCCAAGCTCTCTCAGGGCTCCCGTTCTGCTCAGGAGACCAAGGCCTCTTGGTTTAATTTGCCAGGGCAGGGCCCCAGGGGACACAGTCACCCCAGGAAACAAAGGCAGCTCCATCCACATCCTGCTGGACTCAAGAAGAGAGCCGCTCAAGTCTGATTTGGCAAAAAGTTCTGTTTTTAGAGCTATTTTGGGCCACAGTGGGATTTTCTGTGCTTGTCTCAAAGGTATCATAAACTGAATTCTTTTCTACCTCTCCTACTCCTGTGTTCGAAATTAAAATATTGTTCTTCCTCTCGCTTTTTTCTGCTTCTCTTTTCCCCTATCAGAGGAATGCAAACGGCAAAAAGGGTAGAGGCTGGGCTTAAGGCCAGGACAGTACTGGGGGCCTAGCTCCTCCCACTCACCATCTGACCTCTGCTCAGGCCCCCAGAGCATAGCATGCTGGGAGGTGTAGTTCTCCCATACTACATAGAAGGGGATATCTGCCTCCCCTTAACTTCTCTGCACCTCTGGAAGCTGCTCCATGGGTGTCTTTCTTTCTTTCTTCTTCTTTTTTTTTTTTTTCTATTTTGGTACCAGGGATCGAACTCTGGTCCTTGTGCTTGTGAGGCAGGTGGAGGAACCACTGAGCTAAATCCCTGGCCTCCCTGGGTGTCTTGACGCTGGATCTGTTCCAGTGTCTCTCAGACAGACACCGGGTGCCTAGTAGCTTGCCCTACACACGAAACACTTTCAACTATCTAAGAGAGGCTGGATTATGTCTTGGGCTAGAAAAACCTCCACAGCCATGCCATCCCTTAAAGGAATGCCAAGCTTGCATCCTTCCTGCACTTTTCACCTTCCCTTCTTAGCTCACCAAACAATTACAGCTGATGGCTCCATCATGATTCCTATGCAATCACTCTGTAACGTCTGATTGCCTACCAGACTGGGCCCTTCCAAAGGGCAGGGCTGTGTCTGCTTGGCCACTCCTATTCCTAGGCACCATGGGCTTCCTGGACAAGATGACCTATGGTACAGACCTGTCTTGTGCATCATAGAAGATTCAGAAACATCCTTGGATTTACCCACTAGATGCCAAAGGCATCTAGTTGTCACAACCAAAAATGCTTCCAGACACAGCTCCCTTGAGGGATAAAACCATCCCCGATTGAGAACCACTGCTCCACAGCCTGGCACAATGCTTCCGGGAATGAGAAAATGCATAACTCTGCATTCCTCTAACAGGCAGGTGATTTTTATTTTCTCTTACCATAATCACGTACAAATTTCGTTTTTCCTATCAGACTAGAATCTTCCAGAAGACAGGCCCATGTGACCTCGGCTTTGTATCAGTGATTGCTCATAACTCTGCTGAAGGAGTAATTATCAGAGTGTCAAATAACACAGGACTGAAAGCCAGTTTGGTTTCCCTACCTCCCCACTGCAAGCCTGTTTTGCTGGGGCAACTCTGCTATGGTAGCTAAAGTTTTCTGGGCCTCACTGGCTCTCCAGTCATCATAATTCTTTGTCCTATTGGGCTAATGGGAGGTTCACAACTTCACATCTCTAAGGAGCTACGGTTTCTAAGAATAAACCTTACAGGTAGTTTTTACCTTACATTTTCTTTTTTAAATTGGTACATATTTAGAGGTACATAACATTTACCATAGGGAATTTGTACCTGTACATGATATATCTTGCTTCTTTTTTACTCATTTCCCTCCCTTCTCTTCAAAGCCTTCCCCTCCTTATTTATAAAAGCTTTGTTTCCATTTCTCTTTTTTTCTTGTCCCTTCATTCCTTTTCCCCTTCTCCCTGTTGTTCCCCTTCTCATTTGAACATTTGCTTTTCATTCCCCAATATAGACTATATACTTCTGTCCTTATTTACACTTCGCTTCTCACACCCAGAGAAACAATGTGGTACATAAACGTGTCTGATTTATTTCACTTAAGAGTATGGTCTTGGGATACTTCCATTTAGCTAGATATGTCTTAAGCTTATCCTTCTTTATGGCAGAGTAGTACTCCATTTCATAAAAAACCCACACCATCTTTTACCTTACATTTTCTGAAAATTATTATTAGGACCTGAAATAGGTTGACATGAATTAAGCATTCTGTTGTATGTCTGAAGCAAGTACTATGCAAAGTGCTTTGGAAAGGCCACCTTAATCCTCTAAAAACAAAACTATGTAATAGGTACTTATTTTTGCCCTTTGATAAATGAGGAAATGGACTCAGAGTTTGAAGGACTCAGAGATAGTGTGGTGGCCTCTAGCAACTGATGATGCTTTAGTCAAAAAAAAAGTTTTAGCTTTGACACTGGATATTAAAATTCCTTCTGCAAGGCCAGGGATTTAGCTCAGTGGTGCTGCCACCTGCCTCACAAGTGTAAGGTCCCAAGTTCAATCCCTGGTACAAAATAATAATAATAATAATAATAATTTAAAAATTCCTTCTGCAAGTCTGATACTGCCTGGTACCAGGCAGAATGAGATGTTCTTCTGTGTGTGTGGCCTCTCCAGCCCTTGCCCTCATCGGGCCCTGAAGCTGAACAGAGGCAGCTCTGGGTCACCTAGAGGGGACTGCTGAGGCTGAGTCTAGGAGCTGGGCCTCTCTGGTGGCAGGGTAGGATGACATGAAACATAGCCACTCCTTTACAGGTTCCATCCTTTGTAGGAAGACTTTTACCCGGCCCAAACTCCCTCATCACCAAGCTGCTCTGAGAGGCTCTCTTGGGCAAAAGTGACCATGAGGAGGAGGAGGAGGAGCCATTCTTTAGCACCTTCTGAGTACAGTAAGTCCCGGACTTACTAATGAGTTCTGTTCCAGGAGAATGTCATCAATCAGACTCCTTCATAAGTCTGACACAGTGAGTCTTAAACACCTTTGACACACATATAAAATGTATGTTGCTTTGCACTTCCTTTCAGTCCCTCCACATCACCACTGCCTTTCCTCTCGCTCCCGGACATCCTGGACTCTGATAGAGCGCTGTGCTACTGTATACTATCAAACTGTACGGTGAGCACCACAGCAGCACAACTGTGACAGTGTCCTGCAGACACGTGAGCTACTCCTACAATTTGTGTCTAAGAATGTTTATAATTCAAGGTCCCTTCATATAATCTGTGCATGTTCGCAACTGGAATATTCGTGAAGTCGGGGACTTACTGTTTCAGACACTGTTGGATCTTATCTATATGAACTCAGATCTATTAATTATTAAGATGTGATCATTTTTCCTGAGTAACAGAGAGAAATACCTTTCCCAGGTGAATGAGCAATAGAACCCAACCCTGAGCAGAGGTAGTCCAAGTCCCGAGTGCCTGTATATCTGCTAGGCTGTACTGGACTGCCGCTTGGTTAGGGCTGTGTCTCCATCACCCTGGTGTCTGCCAGGTGCTCAGCCTGGGTTTATGAATGAAAAATGAATGGATGATTTGTGGTTGTACTGCCACTGAAGTCACAAGTTTCTGAACACTTTCTCGGGGTCCACTCCCACTACTGGGGCAGAGTCCCTTTGGAAACAGAAATTCTTGCCAGAAAACCAGTAATTCTCACCTGCCTCCTGATTGAAAGATCTACTCAACTCACCCACCACCACTTGTCTAGAAAAGGAGCACCAAAGCACTTCTTCTGGACATTGTTCCTGCAGGTAAGTTTTAGAGGTGACCTGTTGTGAACGGGAAAGGAATAATCCTCACCATCTCTTCTGTGCACAAAGTCCTTTAGCAAAAACAGCAGCTTAGGGATAGGGAAACAGCTGTGAGAGCCTATCTAGCATGCGTGGAAGCCCTGGACTCCACTCCCAGCACAGAGAGAGAAGAGAGGAGACAGACAGAGGTGGGGACAGGGATGGGGATGGTAGAGGTAGATATTAAACACCCAATAATAATATCCCAACTGAGGGCGACGGACCATCCACAGGGAAGGGCCTCTTATCATGATCATGTTAAAGGGAGGGAAATGTTGCCCTGGAACCAGAACCCCAGAGAGGGAGAGGGGGGAGAGAGAGAGAGAGAGAGAGGAAGAGAGAGAATGCACTGCTGGTACCAGCCAACCCAAAACCTGAGTTTATGTCCCCTAGCTTATGTCCCCTAGCTACAGGGCTTTCTTGCTTTCTAACATGGTCTTCTCCAATACCTACAGCAATTCGTTTCTCTCTCTCTCTCTCTTTTTTTTGGTGGAACTGGGGATTGAACTCAGGACCTTGTGCTTGCCAAGCAGGTGCAGCATTACTGAGCTAAAACCCCAGCCCATCATGTTTCCATTTTTGATGAAAGAGGAGGGATGCTCAGAGAGGGCTGATTGCCTGAGTGGCTGATTCTGAATCCAGTGCTCTTTACCCTGCCCTGCAGATGGGTACAGTCTCTGGGGGAGGAATCCAGGGGGAAACTGAGCTCTGCATGTCGTCCTCTGTGGGTGAGCCTCTGGTGCTAAGCAAGCCAGTCACTGCTCCTGTTCCTTGAGCCCTACCCACCCTGCCTCCACCCTGCCCCATGGTCTGAAGGCTACGCACCCTGCCCAGACACAGATGGCCCTGAGCTAGAGGGGCCAGGGAGCTGCCCTGACCACCATCTCCAAACCAGAGCTCCTAACGAATGGCTCAACACCCCCACCCCAGGCCTGGTACACCATTTCCCCTCTTTGCAGGACTCTCCCTTGTCCTCCACAGCATCCTAGGTAGCCCCCACCCTGGACACTATATGCAGAAATGGCGTCCTACATCTCAGGGGCCCCAAAGGTGGGGCCACCAGCTTGCTCAGATCTGGGGCCTAGTGTGAACACAGGAATGGTGCTGAGTGAACGGATGAAAGAATGAATGAATGTCTAATCTAGCCAGAACCCTGGTGCACCTGGCTTTTTTTTTTCCCCCGATCTTAAGCATGTCCATTTGCAACAGGATTATCAGCTGCTCCTTCCTTGTCCCCGGATCCCTGCCATCTCCTTGACTCTCCTGCTCTCACCACTCTCATCGTTCCGCCTTCTGCTGTCTCTTTGCCCCCAAGTTTTTCCCCCTATTCCATCTCTCGTCATCATCCCTGGGCCTCCCACTACTCCCACACACGCTATTCAAACAGGTTCAAGAACCAGTAGAGCAAAATCTGCCCTCTGCCAGCCAAGCTCCAGCCTGCACCCCAGGCCTGCCCCCCACCCACATTCCAACCTCAGATCCCCAGTGACCCACCAGGAACAGGGCACAGCTCAACCTCCATCCCCACAGAAACAGGATGAGCCAGTTTCTCCCAGCCCCCTCCAGGAACCTAGAGAATCTCCCCCACCCCCCACATACCCTCCTCTCACTGGCTCATCCAGTGTGACAGCACAGAATCCACACAGCCCGTCATGCCCTGCTGGGATCAAAGGGCCCCAGAAAGAGAGGCCAGGTTCTCACCCTCTCTCCTCACCTGGCCCTTGCGCCAGGAAGCCTTGCTGAGCAGGCAGTGTTTGGGCCTCGCCCTTGAAACAGAGCCGAGAGGAAGGAGCTGCACTTCAGGCTGAGATGCTACAGCCTTGTGAGGAGGACACACTGACAGAAGTGCCAATAATTCTGTGATAAATGCCAGGCCGAAGGTATAGACAAAGGGAGATGACTCATTCTGCCTTGGAGGTCAGAAGAGGAAATGGGACATCTGATTGGGTCTTGCGAGGAAGACAAGGGCAGGCCAGGTGGAAGGGACAAGCCAGGCAACCGAACAGGGGTAGGCATGCACAGGGCTGCCCTGGGAGGAGGGCGGGGCAGATGGGGCATTGGGGCACAGCAGCACAGGATGCCAGGAGAGGCCCTGAGCAATGTGTAAGGACCATGGGCTGGGCCTCTAGAAGGCAGCAGGAGCCCCTGGAGTGTATCTGCTGTGGCTCAAGAAGATTATTCCAACAGCCCCCTAAGGTGGGGGGTGCAGGGCTGCTGGTGCGGAGGCCCTGGCTATAGCCCAGCTTCTCCTGTCACCATTCTCTCTGAGCCAAGTCCTTCTCTCTTGGCCACAATACACAGGCTGCATCTCTTCCAGGCTCCAAAGATTTGCTCACTGTGCTCCTGTTGCCAGGAGTGCCCTTTGAGTTCTTACCTGTGCCTGAGGCACTTGCTCTGGGGCACTGAAGCCCCTACCTGCACAAAGCCCTCCCAGACTCTGGCCAAGGCCTTGGTCAACGATCCCTGGGCTGTGATTTTTTTTGGGGGGGGGCGGGGAGGACAAGGTCTCACTGTATAGTCTTGGCTGGTCTTGAGCTCACTACGTAGCCTAGGCTGGTTTTGAATTTCTGGTGATCCTCCTGCCTCAGCTTCCCAAGTGCTGGGGTTACAGGCATGCACCACCATGCCTGGTGTGTGACCTTTGAAGTAATAGATGCAGGGATATGTCCATGCTTGAACCCTGACATTAAGCACAAGAATTTGAAAGCAGTGGGTCCTTGGACAGTCCTTGTCTCCTGAGGCTCAGCATCCAGGTTCCTGCTCCACAAAGACCTTGATCTGAAAAACGTGTTGCTCCTATGAGCATGTCCTCCTCCTTGGGGAACCACAAAAACACACATCCTCACCATTGTACAGGCAGCCAACACAAAGAGATACAAATGTGGGCCACCATTGACAGAGGGTGGTAATAAAGATGGTAACGACCAGCATCTACAGGGACAAGGACTGTTCTAAACCTCATGTGGATTAACTAATTGAACCTTCACTATTGCACAGTGATTCTCCCCGTGGTACTGATGGGGACACCAACACCCAGAGAGGTAAATTATTCCTCTACTATGTGCTAGATCCAGGAGTCAACCCAGAGCCTTTCCCTGAAGCACCTCATCTCCCAACCCCACCAGGTTAGGAAAAAGCAAGGTGCAGAATAAGAGCCTCAGAGAGATCTCATTTGGAGAAAAAGGAAACTATGTATCTCCACATAGGATACACAGTATAAATTAAGTAACAAAAACTCAAAGGATACATTTAAAGTCCTAACTGGGGTCACCTGTGCTAAGCGGTCTTTTACTCTTTATACTTCTGAGGTAGTTGCATTTTTCACAGTGAGAACATACTCGTTACTTGAGCAACAAAAGCAAAAAAGAGAGCAATGGGCCAGGGATTTAGCTCAGTGGTGTTGCTGCCTGCCTCGTAAGCACAAGGTCCCAAGTTCGATCCCCAGTACCAAAAAAAAGTCTCCTCATAAATTACTGTTTGTTGAACGACAGATCCACTTCCTAGGACTGCCTTTTCACACAGGGTATGACCTATCAGTAGATTGTGAAACCACTGACTTACTGGTTTGCTACCAGTAATTCTTTTAGTCAACTAGAACAGAAGGCATCAAACACCAGCACTCATAGCAGCGGGCTTATTCACTACTAAACTTTCATTTCTGTTATATGATGTGGGTGTGAACAGCACTACGACCTAATGTATTTCTTCATACTAAAGGTCACTGGCAGGAGTCTTAAAGCCAACATACTGTGCTAGGAGTGTGCAAGAGATGCAGCAGGGAAGACCTCACGGTCAGTGAAAGTGGAGATGGCTCTGGAGCAGGTGAGAGCCCTCTGTCTACAAGAGCTGAGGATGCCTGGTCGGGGAGGGTCACAGTTTGCTCACTGCATAGCTCGGCTTCTGGGCCCTGGATTAGCCTTAATACCCTCTCCTCTCCAAGATTTTTGGCTATGAAAGCTTTTGCCAGACTTCTGGGCCGAGGCTGCTGAGACCTGAATGGCCATGACTGGCTCCACTGCTCCTTGCTCCTGGGCCCCAGATACCCTCTGGGCTGTCCGGCAAGGGGAGAAGGGTGGGACATTAGATTTCTCTCCAGCTCCAGGTTCAGAGGCCAAGTCCCAGGGAAGTCTCTGGAAACGCAGCCGTGGAGTGAATCGGAAGAGGCCACAGCTTGGTCTCTCCATCGAGGTGTCCCCTAGCCGGGGTGGGCCTGACCCTAGGGGGAGTGAGGTCCATATGGAGAATAGGGAGGGGGGCAGGAAGAGAAGCAGAAGCAGCCCTGGGCTCCCATCGCGCTGGCGCCTCCACATCAGAGCTGTTTAACCCACCCCCGCCTCCCCTCCTGGGGCAGCAGACAACCAAAAAAAGATAAAATAAAAAGAAGTAATTCCCCTGCTCTGACGTCAGCGCGAGGTCTTAACAGCCCGGCAGCAGCATGAAAATGGATTGCAACCAGATGTAATGCCCTTGAATTCTCAACACACCACCGCGTTGGAAGAGATACAGGGGAGGGGGCGCGCTTCGCTTGGGAGGGAACCGTGCAGGTCCCGCGCGGGTCTGGCATCAGGGCCAGCGGAAATCACGGTGAAGGCGCCGAGGGAGCCAGTGCCGAGCGCTGGGAAACGCCGGCCCGGGTCCGCCATTCAGGCGCGCGACCTCCCCTCCCCCAGCCCCCCAATAGCGCATTGTTACACTCGGTTTTACCCATTCAGAGCCGAAGCCCCGCCGCTCCCAGGAGGAGGGCACGGCTCCCGCCCGCACTCTGGCTTCTGGCGTGGACTGGAGAAGGACCAAGAGAGCCCCAAGAAGGGAAACCGCTCGCTGGGAAAACGGGCGCCCCAGGAAGCTGGGGCCGCCGCGACCTCAGGCCTGGCTGGTGTTTCGCTTCCCCTCCGCTCCTTCTCGCAGGCCCCCAATGCAACCAAAGCTCCAAATGTCACCCCCGCGCCCTGCCATCCCCTCGTCGGCCC